GCTAGTGAAGGACGGGTCTAATATTCATTATGTGGGAATATAAGTTACCTTTCAAATGAAACTCGCCGCACTTTCTTCTCAGCATTCTTGTATAAGTAGAACAGAGGCAGTCAAATATGACTTGAATTTCCTCAGGTAGGGCATAGAGGAATGCTGTATTCATGTTAGATGTTGCAGTTGGCTGTTTCAGGAGTGTTATATCAACTTCTCACACAGCTGGAATATCTGTTTGCGTGAAAATGCCTCAGGATATCTCATATCTGAACCTGTATTGATGAAGACACTAGTTCCAGTTCTACCACAATCTAGATCACCATTTCACCTTCAGTCATCATCCATTATAACAATGGCATTCTGTCAGTACAAGTGAGTGAAGATATTTTGATTGAAAATGGGGCAGAATTACGTGTTAATTGACAGTTGACTGTTTTGTGTGTTTGAATGCAGTGCTAGGAGATGATTTTCAGCCAAACAGTTTGTTGTAACATTTGTGAGCAGGTGGCAAATTAAGGATCTGTTACCTGAAGGCAAAATTATAAAGTTTTATATGGCACATGTACGAAAATAGTCTCATAACGATTTGATGAAGCTGTTGTCTGATATCTTCACTAAGCACTTAGCAAGTACAGCTCTACCGAAAGTCGCTTAGTACTGTTGAACAAAGTGAGCCAATCTCAAGTATATGCAACAGAGTGAGATGACACTGAGTAGCTTCACACCAACAGACAAATCATTTATCAAAGAATAACCGGCCTTGGCAAATACATTTCAGTCGTGTTTAGCAGAGACGCCTCGCTAAGCTGAGACGATGTGACAGCAAACTCAGGAAGTACTTGCTTCAAAAATTGATGTAATGGATTGTATAATGGAAGTAATTCAAATTGAAATTCTCAATAGAAAACAGTTCAAATTAAAGTGAATCACAGTCTTCCGACACACATTTTTCAGTCTGATTGTCTTTTCAAAATTCAATATTGACAGAAACCTGAATAACTGACAGGATGAACTGGTATGTTGCTTCTAAATTATGCAGCAAAATAAATACATATAAAAGATACAATATCAGCTGTGTTGTTTCACACTTCAAATAACTAATGTAAACAATCAGCAAAAATTAAAACAGTCAGCTACAAAGTAAGCCACGACACGTTGTGAGTTGGTTTTTATTACAGCAAGCACAATAAAACTACTTATCGTTGTACTCAGGTGGTTGTCTTTCATCGAGACTGATGAATTCGTCGACCACTTCATACACATCACCGTTTAATTCATCAGTAGTAATAGTAGGAGGAGTATTAGCAGTCCACAATCCTCATCAGTCCACCATGTGTCGTCGTTCAATAGCAGTGAAGATCTCTAAGATGTTGAACACTTCACATGTGTTAGAACTGTTCAGTCAGCATCTGATTGTTGTATGCCATTCAAACAGGTCATTGAATTTTACACTCGGCTGAATGATACCACAAGTGGTGAAGTATAGACACCTTAGTGGTCTACATTTTCTCTTTCAGCTGAGGTTAAATGAAATAAAAATCAAATCACATACACCACTAGAAACAAAATTAATATACCTTGTCGCGATTACAGGTGAAAGTTCAGAGCTCAGTTTGACATTGAAAGTGAATAAGACTCACATCATAAACTGTCTTTACACTTCTGTGTACAGACAATATAAGCTGACGTTACAATAAAACAATAATAACAACACTGTATCTCCACTGACAATGTTATTTTCCAAAAGTCTGATTAAGAGGACTTCTTCACTTCACTCCCCTACCTTATCAAATTTTATCATTTCCAACGTTAGTCATTGCATACCCCGTAATTGCATGAAGCTCATATCCGTCCATTGTAGACAGACGCAATCAGCCGTCTGGTGGCCCGACAATTACATAAAACTTCATTTAACCGTCTACTACTAAAACGGAGTATGCATGAATGTCAGAAAAAAAAGACTCACTGGCACATCCTGCATCGGAGTTCTTCCACTCTCTCTCCAAATTCACTAACATTGACAGTGTGCTTCGACCAGAGTCGTTCAGCCACAGCGGCACCTCTAGGCCTACAATTGTTACGGAGATCAGAGAATACACAAAATCGTTGTGAATACACCGGAGGAAATCAAACTACAATAAGTTCAAATTCTGTCAGACATTGAAAATCATCTTGCATCATCTCCTGTGATAGCCAGTTCTCTCTAACAATATTTGAAGTTGTTTTCAGGAAAGAGACAAAATTGTCATTGAATTTCTGATCGACTTTTTCATATAAAGATGAGTAAATGCTCCCTTAATTAAGGCGAAACTCCCACAGCTCGGAAATGTAAGAGTGACTAGTGGCTGAAATTCTATTGTGACCGATTTTATATGGGATTAGGTTTTGTTCCTCATGAACGCATACTGATGATCACTTCTCAGCTATTCTCCGATTAGGAGAAATGCAGAGGAGTGACTGAAAAGATGAAAATTTACTGCTCCATGGAAAAGACACCAATACATTTCTACAAAGAAACTAACATCAAGACCAGAAATTATATCCAATTATTCACTCACCTCACACTAACGATAAATCACAGGTTTCGGATAAGAAAACTACGTTCTATCGGGATAGAATGCATCAATAAAATCTGTACGACGTGATATCTAATCTAAGTTAGGGTCAAGTATCTGATTTTCTGATCACGCTGGATCCAGTGACCAGCACATCCATCAATGTTGATCATCAAATTGTCTGACAGTTGCAATTTATTCTTAGTGGAAGTACAAACTTCTGCATTCACCAACTATCTACAGAACACTGGCTCCCTGTCAGCTCAATTCAACTGAAACATTTCCAATAAACAGTCAATGATTTCTGTTAAAATTTTGAAAATTATTCACGAACGGTACTCACCAAGCCAGTGAGATCACATTGGTCTCATCCGCATGTGTGCTCCATATTTCAGCCTCACCACCAAGGACTTATATTGATTCTGTGAGAGTGCCTGTAAACCATAGAACCAGTACTATTAACACAGAGAGTAAATAAGAGTGAATGAGGAGCAATCTAATCCACAAATTCAAATTTTGGGAAACATTTATTTGCGAAGACGAATTTGCGACAACCAACAGCTGTTAGTAAAGCAGGATTTAATGAATTCATCGAATAGGTTTATATGTTGTAGAGAAAGACGATTGTCTACTGGCATGATGGAGCATTTATCAAGGTGGTTGAAAATGGCTGAAGTCGAAGTGCCAAAAATTTCAATAACAAAGCACCTTGTGGACTACGGATCTGTTATTAATGCTGTCTGTCATTCACCGTTTTCAGCAGACAGACGGACAGGGAGATGCTTGCAGTTGAGGATGCCTGTGCAATTTGAGTCTACAAACCAGGTCTGTGTGTACAAGAGGAAATGGTGGTCACTCTGAATCTACCATGGTAATATGTCCTACTGAGTAACTGTTATTATCATTATTATTAACAATTAGTCCCTTTTATAAATTTTGATAGCATTATTAGAAGACGGAGATTATCTGAAAATTGTGATGAATTTGCGCCATACATTTCGAACAATCTGATCAGACATTTACTTGTCAAGTCAATATTTATGGAAAGGTTAAATTAAACTAAGTGACACAAAATAGAATTAAGAATTTGATTGCATTACCAAACGTTTGTGTTAATTATTCTTAATTCCTTTTTTTTGTCACTTTGTTGAATTTAACCTTTCCATAAATATTGACTTGACAAGTAAATGTCTGATCAGATTGTTCGAAATGTATGGCGCAAATTCATCACAATTTTCAGATAATCTCCGTCTTCTAATAATGCTATCAAAATTATTATTAACACTTTATTCTATACCTCGGTTTGCGTCTTATTAGTATTCCTGAATCCTTTAAAACTGTCTTTTATCACTACCATTTTCTTAACTCGTTTCAATATTATGGCTATTAACTTCACTATTATAGCCACTACTATTCAGTTCACATTTCTTGATGCATTCAAGTTCTTTCTCTGATGGTTAATTGATTTAATACTAATTTCAATCTCCAATACTCCCTTCCCTAATCTATCTGAACATAACCTGAAACGCATTCACGCCTGTCATTTTGCATGCTTTATTCAGTTTAGTTTATTTGCTTATCAGTCTGATATCTCCCTTGGTGATTCTAATGGTAAATTTATATACTTGCATGTAAAGTATTCAGCTGACGAAGAGTTGTAACAAAATTCGATGAATTCATTAAATCCTGCTTTACTAATCTTCGTTGCTTGTTTGAAATTCAAATATGTCAAGGACACTGGTGAACAAGGCCTACACTTATGCAGTCCAAGTGGTTCCACATTTCTGCATTCTGTGAAGTCGAAACAATTACTACTGGCAAAATTAACAATTATAATAATTAGTGTTCTCTAGTCGAAATATTACTGAGAATTTATCCATTAATTTACTCAGATCGGTATTTGCTGCTGTTCTCCGAATGAGATGAGACAAATGAGTAATAGCCAGGTCCTGCAGTAGGATTTTCCATGTCAAACACTCATAATTAGCATTTTATCAAGGCAGTATTTTGATGTCCAGGATATCGTGTCATCACAAGACCAGTTTGTGCTCACGTGAGAATTGGTTGGCCTTATGTATGATTCTATTTTGATGTGAACAAATATTTGTTCCACAGATTCCGACCAGCTTTTATTGAATGACCACCATTGGAGCAGGAGAGTCGACTAGCTAGCTGTAACCACTTAGAGTTAACGCTCATCTCAAAACTACCTCATAACAAAGACATGTAAGATGAAACATAAAATAGAACCACTCGAGTAATATCTGCACCTCAGATTGTTTGTGGAAATCATTCACTTCAAATAACGTCTCAAATGAACTCACCTCCAAAATCTCTGATATTTTGTTCAAAATATCTACTCCAATCATCGTCATGTTGTAAGTCGTTTAGATTCCAAATACCAGAGATTATAACCGAGTGTCCATCTTCAGTAGCATTGAAGGTGTAATTCTTCCAATTATCACTCTTCCACACATGAATTATTGTACTTTGGTCATACTGTTAAACATCAGAATCAAACAGTTTTATCTCTATGAGTCTCATGTTTTCCAAAATGATAACAGTAATCTGAACAGTTTGAGACATTTCATCCAACAGACTAAAGTATTTGATAAAACAGAGATTGCGGAAACAAGTTATGTGGGTGACTTAGATCTCTGCACCCATTTTTTGAAGATTTTCCAGACATCTGATAGCTTAATGGCATGAATTACATGAATACCAGGTTAGGTGTGCCAAATCGAAGTGGGAAAATCACACACACACTTCTTTCCTGTCTCGCCTCAGTGAATGTTTTGCTCTTCATTTATTCGATCATTTGATGCAGTATATTTTCAGTAGGACTTATAAAAGGAGATTACCTCACTGTTTATTTTACTAGCCGCTTTTAAAGACGTGCAGGAGAGAATGCTGGTTAGTGACTTGTAATTTCACTCAGTGGAAAACAGTCTCGCATCCAATGAACGTTCTGAGCTCGTAAACAACTTTGTCTTCTGTTCAATCCTGAATGATTCCTCTTTTCGGTTGTGGTTAATCCTGGAGGATACAAGTATCTATGGGGACAGACAGCAAAGCATCTTCTTTCGATAAAAGGCAGAATATGCATAAACACATGGAGTCTGTGTACAATGTTTGAGGCTGGCAGTTTGCACAAGAAATAGCGAGATACTTTTATGTTTTGTTAGGATTTCGTGAGAGCTAGTTGGCATTCCCAGTTATGTAATGAAGAGTGAATAACCGCCTCTGATCGTCTAGATGACAACTACTAGGTTATTGAGAAGACGGCTACCATGATTTCACCAATACCAGCAATAACGTTTATGCAGTTGGACTTTTTTTTATTCCTGCACATTCGCAATGGGACATAGGGCTTCAAGCTAGAGACTTGAAGTTTCTGTAGCAGTTTTTTATTTTTACAGGATGGGGTTGTTAGCCACTTGCCCAACCTTTCCTCTTCACCAGCATTATTTCTGGCTTAGCGAGGTAAAGGAGTGCGTCGGCCGGGGATCGAACCCCGGACCATGTGCATGATCGGCGAGCGTCCTAACCGCTATGCCAGCAACGCACATGCATTTGGACTTAATGTTCCTAAACAGAACTACAGCACGAATCACCTCAGTATGAAAAGAAGTTACGATTATATAATGTTGCACAACTAAAATCGACGCAGATTGAGAGAACAGAGAAGATTTCGACACACAACTGAAAACAGTACTGAGCGAGACCCAGATGTCAGCAAAATTGATTTGGGTGATATGCCTAGTGTACTGGAAGTAAATAACAATTTAACAACCAATAACAATTTTCACTTTGTTCCAAATAATATGTTTATAGACAGTACAAAATTCTAAGCATGTTCTATGTACATTTTATACATAAATTTCAAGTGAAATAGTGATCCAGATTATGTAATTCCACAGAGTAGTATTCAACCTGAATAACCCTGATTCCGAAAGCGTTGCTCCTTCAAAGAATGTCTACAGTCGTATTCAAGGGCACTCAGAAATTCGTATAAGTACGACGTATTGCTTGCTAAAGATAAAATCAGACGGCTACAACAAAAATCAACTAAGTCGATTAGACGCATTATTCCCTTTGTGAGAAAATTTATCACGGATTCCAGGGGCACTCGATTAAATAAGTGAGAATGGGAACACTCTGCAGACATCTGAGCAGCCAACAATTTGACGACTAGGTACGGTGTGTGCAAACACAAGGATATTCATGAGATGACTTCAGTTTAACTATACGAAATATAATATTCAATTCATGCCATTCTCTCGAAAATTGAGACGCAGACCATTGGAAACAAAACCAAGAAGAGGAGCAGACGTGAACTGAGTGCACTAACTTGTGTGGTTGAACATATTCAGAGTCAAGTTGAAAGGCTTCAAAGAAGCTGAAGACAGACCAGAGTTTAAGTGCAGTACTCAGGAACTGAAACGAACCAACGAAATACACCTTCAGGACAGTCATCTGCAAGAAATCAGACAGATTGAGCAACATCACCGGAAATGCATTCATGGAGGAACACTGGAATCCGCTGATTTATGGAAGTAAGTGGTACACAAATGTGAAGGGATATTTTAGATGTCGGAGGATGGAATGCAGGAAATGATGTAAAGAGTGATTTAAGCGTGACTTTTCTCAAATAATGTGTCAGCTAACACCTTTGTCGTGATAGCTGATGGACAGTTAGTCCTAATTTATAAATATAATCGATATATATCAGTAATTTCTCATGCTTAATCTATTTTCCCGACCATGTATTCCTTCTTATGGAAAGGTTAACAAGGGATATGCAATGGTTCTCCCATTCACACAAACACGATTTTGTTTATCGCATAGGTACATTTTTCATATTCAGTTATCAACAAACATGAGCATTAGTCGAACGTAATCACTAAGAATCTGACGCAAAAGTACACCCTGTTTACAGTGTTTAACAGAAATCTGTGTTCAAACTTTGATCACAATCCATGCAATTTTGTCTATTATATTTTGATGTCTGTTCATGACTCATATGATTGGACAGGGTTTTCAAAGACAAAATGTCTCCTTTTGATATATAATATATATACCTTTGTTATTTTAATATCGATCACTTTTCCTGAAGAAGTTGGAAACAGTTTCAATTTCGCTGACAGTTAACAAGGATAATTTTCACATATGTCCACGTCTCAACCTCACGTAGATTACTGGCTCACTAGTTTTCTATCTGGTCCCAAGCCCGGATAAAGAAAAAGGTTTGGGGCATGGTGCTAGCAACTCCACTCCCAAAACTTAAACCAATTGCTACAGAAAATTCAATGCATAAATATATTAAAAATACTAAAAATATAAACAATAATCTTATTTTTCGCTAGAATCGGGGAAGTGAAATAATGCAGGCTGGTGAAAGCCTTCGGGAAGCCAGTCAGCCAATGTGCCTCCTTTCGACGAAAGCAAAAATAAGGATGGGGACGTGGAATGTTCGTACAATATACGAAGCTGGAAAGGCTGCCCTGGTAGCCGCAGAAATGAGAAGATATAAAATAGAAGTGCTGGGAATCTGTGAGAGCAGATGGAACGGATGTGGAAGGAGCCAACTATCAACTGGAGAGACAATAATCTACTCCGGTCACCCAGAGGGCGGTCACGAACACACTGAGGGAGTAGCCATCATGATGTCACCAACAGCAGCCAGAGGTCTCATGCAGTGGGAACCAATCTCCTCCAGGATAATGACAGCCAGGATCAACTAAAAAAGAAGAAAGGTTACAATCATTCAATGCTATGCGGCTACAAACGTCTCAGAACAAGAGAAGAAGGAGGATTTCTACAGACAACTACAAACAGTAATGGACAACGCCCCGAATGCCGATATCAGAATCCTGATGGATGACATGAATGCGAAACTGTAGGGAGACAATACAGGAAGAGAACTCACCATAAGTCGTGAGGCGCCCGGTGAAATGAACGACAATGGTGAACTCAGACTTCTGCGCCTTCAATAATTTGGTGATTGGCGGCAGTGTCTTCAAACACAAGGATATGCACAAGGCGACATGGATTTCACCAGATGGACACACCAAAAACCAGATAGACTTCATTTCAATCTCAGGGAAGTGGAGACGGAGCCTACTGAACACAAAGTCGAGGAGAGGAGAAGATGTGGGTTCAGACTATTATCTAGTACAAGCGACTTTCAAGGTGAAGCTGGAGGCCTCGAAGATAACTGGAGATAGGCCAAAATGCATGTTCAACACTCAAAAATTGAAGGACACAACACGCAGGACACGTTCACTGTAACTCTCAGAGCAAAGCAGGAAACATTACGTGGCATCACGGAAGAATCATGCGTGGAAGATCATTGGAACTCTCTGAAGGTGATTTTGAGCGAAACGTGTTAAGCGGTTTTAGGAAGAAAGAAGAAACAAGACAAGGAATGGCTCTCAACGGACACTTGAAAGCTAATAGAGGAGAGGAGAATGGTGAAAGAGAAAATGATTCAATGCAAACACGGACAAGAGAAGGAGACGCTTAGCTCAACTTACACAGCACTGGACAAAAATTGAAGAAGAGTGCTAGGAAGGACAGGAGACAATTTTACGACAACCTGGCCACTGAAGCTGAGAAGGCAGCAGGCAAAAAGGACCTGAGGGCATTTAAATCAGATAACCAAGTATGCGGGAAGAGATCAACACAAGTGAAACCTGCTATATACACTGGTGACTCACCAATATTGATTTTTCGCACCTGCATGATTGAATTTACTGAATTACCATTGATTGTTAATATTTTTTAAATGTGACATTTATTTTCCTAACTTTATAAATACGGAGTTTTTTTTAACATTTTCGACTGTAGTCGAGATAGCAAAAGCTCTCGTATCAACGTCTAGTCTTCTTTCTTGTATTGCGTGCCTGGCGGTATTGTTGTTGTTGACAAGGTCATAATATTTTTATACATAACAAAACCTATAAAAGACAGGCAAGAGAACCCAATTAACAAGGAAGAAAGACAAATTAAACAATGGGCGGATCACTTCAAATAACTCTTGAACCGACCACCATCTGCAACTCGTCCAGAAATACCAACAACAGCGCATACACAAATGCAAGTTGACACCAATGGCCCAACGAAAGCTGATGTCTTGAATGCAATCAAGCTTCTGAAAACTGGAAAAGCAGCTGGACCAGATGGCATACCCCCTGAAGCACTGAAAGCGGACCCAGAGACGACAGCAGATATGCTGACTCCATTATTGCGAAAGTTCTGGAAGGAGGGAAAGGTGCCTACTGACTGGAGGAAAGGTTACCTCATGAAACTACCAGAAAAGGGCGACCTGGGACTCTGCAAGAACTGGCGAGGAATCATGCTCCTGTCGACGCCAAGTAAAATCCTGAGTCGCATCATCCTAGGGAGAGAATAACGGACGCAATGGATACAGAACTCCGACCAGAACAAGCTGGATTCAGGAGAGGCGAATCATGTTCTGACCAAATTGCAACTCTACGCATCATCATCGAACAAATCATGGAATGACAATCAAATCTCTACCTCAACTTTATAGACTTTGAGAAGGCCTTCAACAGCGTTGACCGCGAAGTAATTTGGAAACTACTGGAGTACTACCTTATCAACCATATTGAACAGCTGTACGAGAACGGCACATGTCAAGTGATCCACAACGGAAAACTCACCGAGGCGTTTGGATTAAACACAGGAGTCAGACAAAGGTGCTTATTATCACCAATGATATTCCTAATTGTGCTGGACTGGATTATGCGCCAGACAGTGGGAAACGAAAAGACAGGGATATCCTGGACCGACGTGAAGAACCTAGAAAACCTGGATTTCGCGGATGATTTATGTTTGATGTCACACAAAATCGAAGACTTACAAGTGAAAACCGACAAACTGGTCGAAGAAGCAGCCGGAGAAGACAGGACTCCAGGTGAACATAAACAAGACGGAGGTTATGAAAATAACCAACCGACAACAACAACAAGAGCAGCAACATCCACCGCCAATCACCATCAACGGGAGGGATTTGAAAGAAGTTACGTCTTTCACTTATCTAGGGAGCATTGTCTCAACTACAGGAGGAACGGACGAGGATGTCAAATCGAGAATCTTGAAGGCGAGAAACACATTCATCAACCTGAAACCAATCTGGAAATCTTCGTCAATCAGCATCAACAACAAAATTCGGATTTTCAATACAAACGTCAAGTCAGTTCTCTTAAACGAATCAGAAACTTGGCGGGTCACAAAGAATATTTCCAACAGGTTGCAAAACTCTATCAACAAGTGTCTTCGCTCTATATTGGCGACCACATGGCCGGAAAGAATCACCAATAAGAAACTATGGGAACAAACAAAACAAGAACCAATTGCTCAACAAATATGCAGGAGAAAGTAGAGATGGATTGGACACTCGCTGAGGAGACAGCTGGGTGACATCGCGCGTCAGGCCCTCGAGTGGAACCCGAAAGGGAAGCGGCGAGTGGCACGTCCTAGAGTGACATGGAGGAGATCGTGTGAATAGGAGTTGAAACAGTATGGACTCATATGGATGCAGGTGAAAAGTACAGCAGAAGACAGAAGGAAGTGGAGGCGTGCAGTTGAAGCCCTATGTTTCACTAGGAACCCAAGGGAACAATAATGATAATAATAAATTGTTCACCATAGGATCCTTTAACCGAAAAAGATTATTTCTAACTGCGTTCGTGGGTAACTGAATGCCACTTTTATCCCTACCTCATTAAGAATTCTACTTAAGGTTTCCGAGGCTCCTTCTCTGTATGGAAGTACTACTGATGATTTATACTGCCTATTGTTGCTGTTGTCATTATTTTGTACAATTTTTACATGCATGTCACCACTAATACTATTATTATTTTTATAACTATCACTACTACCATTATTATTTATTTTATTTCTACATTTTCCTACATACTCTCTGATTAATTTATCAGAGTATTTATTAAGTTTGAAAGCTTCTCTTATATGACTCACTTGCTGCCTTAGATTTTTCGTTGGTACTATTTAGTTTTTCTGCCCTATAACTTAAACATTTCAGCAATCCTGTTTTTACTGACATAGGGTGGGATGATTGGAAATCCAATATTGGTTTGAATGTGTGGGTTTCCTATAAACACCAGTGTTTTACTTAGCACCTTCTTTCCTTTTTATACTACAATGTAACACTGACAGGTCCCCTTCCTGACTTTCCGATTCATAAGAAAATTGAATTGACTCTACCTTCGAGTTGATGTGTTCCAAAATGTTTAGGGGGTATCCTAAAGTTTGTGGAAGCCCTAGCTGGCAATTAGGAAGTTTAAACCTTCTTTGTGCGTTCAAAACAATTCGTCATCACATTAAACCTTCCTTGGTAAACTTCTATTTGATACCAGCCAGGATAGATTCACTATTTGTTACCTCTATTATTTGGTATAGTGATCTTCATTGTTGTTTTGACCCTCAATATGTCCTTTTCACTTGATCTAAGTCTAATTTCTCACGTCCTAACTCTTTATTAATTTCATATATATTCCTAGGACAAGTCCCTGTGTGATCAGATTGTTCTAAATGTGTAAATGTGTAAATACATTACACGATTCAGAGAAATTACGTCTTCTTATTGCTTTGTCTACATTAACCTCTGTTATGTTAATCTCGATTAATTTTCTTGAAGAAGTTCGGACCAGATTGCCGAACGAAACGTTGGAATTAATCATTTCAATTTCGCTGAAATTTTACAAATATAATTTTTACAAATGTCTACTTCTCCCTCGACGCCCAATTATTTTGGAACTATTCGGTCAAACCTTGATCACAGTTCATAATATATATATGTATATATTTGTTACCACTGGTACTACTCCTGCTGTCTATGTATACCATGACTTTGTTAAGAAGTATGGTTTTAATAGAACAAATCGTGGAAAATACCCATCGGGACATTAGATTGAAAAGAACAAAAAATTCAAACAAACATTTTGAAACAATAGAGAAAAAGTGTAGAAGTAGCAGTGATTGAGCATGCAAAGCGAATTTTTAGGCAAGCAGTGGACACTCCTGACAGTTTACAAAGATAATTTTCACATATGTCCACGTCTTAAATGTCCTTCAATTATTGTGCAACTATTCGGTCAAATCTTGACCACAGTTCATATCAAGTAAAATAATTACCTAAATGAATAATTATCGGTCAGTTTCGAATGATTTGATTTAATACCAAACACATTCTCCAAAACTTACTCCACATTCTTCGACAAAACTCTCCTGATAGACAATAGGCGTCATTGGATAGTCAGGATCGGTCGTCATATTCATGACAATTTGTATGACTTTCATAAAGTGATATTTCTCTAATTCAAAATAGTCATCATTGAATCCCATTTTTCGCATGAATTCAACTATCTCCGGATTCGACTTCCTGAAGAGAAAAGGGAAGGAAAGGGGAGAAAGCGCTTCAGTTTACTGATTCCATGTTCTTAGTCAGGGATCGCTTAATACCATCGACAGTGGAGTCCCGGTGTCAACAAATCTTCAGTTACGATTTGTGACTGAATGATTAATTGACAAGAGAATTAATCAGAAACTCTGGATGAGGATATTTGTTTCACCCAATGGAAGTGACTGGGTGAGATGGACACCTGCCATAATATTCGGTATTCTAATAAATTTTGACAGTAAGCAGGAGAATTTATCCAGCCTGATGGAGAGTTATCTGCGTCAGTTGATTGTCAGAGTGAAATCGTGTGTGGTATTGAAAAGTCAAATACTGTGGGATTACCGTGCTTCACAGTTTATCTATCATTGAGTTATACCTACCAAGATAGACCGCAATGAGTGATTCACAGTCAAGTTTTTATATCATAGTGATAGACATATTAATAATAATAATAATAGTGAATCATGTATCGCCAGTATTGGAAAGCAGACAGTGACAGAGGTTGAAATTCACTGTTCCCTGTGCACACAAATCACCAAATAATGATATGTAATTGAAATAATGAGAATATTGTTTAGATGAGACCAGTTCAGCCTCCGTTCATCTCAAGTGGGTGGGGGAGAATTGAACTTTCAGTTTACGTATGCTATAACAATCCACTTTCACTCAATCTTACTCAAAATCAAGAAAACTCACCAGCATTCATAATCTACCTCGTTGCCGCCAAGATGAATATAACTGTCATGAAATCTACCGATGACTTCTGTGAAGAATTGCTTCAAAAATTCATACGTGGATTCATTGGCTGGATTCAGTGGACCAAATTTCCCGTTTGGCTTGGAATCATTATAACATTTTGTCAGTATGTGTGGATATGCTTTTCCCCATGACAACATATGCGCTACAAAGGATGATTGTGTTGAAGAGTGAGAATTACTTTGACAATAATTAGTCATTATTATTACCGACATAGAAAATAATTTGCCTATCTGTCAGACAGCCATTGACTTGTATGTTCACCCTCTGAAACTTGATGTCAGCTATGGTGTTTTCTGAAACAATCTAATGTTCTCCACATATATCAGATGCATACTTCACATCAACTACATCCGTTCACTTGAGAATCATTTCTGAGACGTTAAATGGATTCATTGAACACTGGAAACACTCACTGACTCTACAACTAATGACATTCACATATTTCTGCTGTCGGAGTCATCGTCAAATTGTCTGCTTTTATCAGTGGGTTGAATAGAAATAAATACAATTGGATCAGATGTGAGGAAAAATACTCGCCAATGACATTCTTTGGTTGTCGCGTTAAGATAACGAATAGAAAGAAGTGGGAATTCATGCTTCATTCTGCGAATTTGCCTTGTAACTGTAAGGTACTGGGTTCGAATATCGATGATGACGGCCTGCATACTACTGAAGAGTCTCAAGCATGTACAAAGCAGCCACTCATTAATCGCCGGTATTCAGTAGTTCCCCAAGTAACATCGATAAGTGATCAAACACAAAAACAATCAAATCCCTACCAACTCACCCTTGGAAATCATAAACCTTGAATAATCTGAATTGTACTGCAAAGTGGCCAAAAGCTTACATGAAAGATTAATCTTTCAAGTGACTCACTATCAACTCATTTCACCAACTTGTTTGAGTACATCTCAGTTTACAGATTCAGACATAAACTGTACTCAATTTCCTAAAGGTGTGACTATCCGTCTTCAATTCATGGCTAAACATTTCATTCTCAGCAGTATTTCAAAACTGTTTGCACACTGATACAAATTTTTGCTTAACACAAACTACTTCAGATGGATAAAATTTGGTTGATAATTGCATGAATTTACATGTCGTTAAGGTTACCTACCTGGAGTATCAAATTCTGGAATGATCCGGACTCCACGGAGACGGGCGTATTCCAATAAATCAGATACTTCTTCTTCGTCATATGTACACTTTTGTGGATGATATGCACCCTGTTCAGATTAGGACGAGAATCGGAATTATCAAATGACTGGACCCTAACCTAACTCACCTTGTCTGACAGTTCTGGATAGGTGGTTGAGACAAAGGGAAAAGATTGGTCATCTGTGATATGCCAATGAAGGACATTCATTTTAACCATAGCCATGATATCCTGTGAACAGAAGACACTATGTTCCACATAACACTTCTTACTATCATTTCGCGTAGGATTTCAACTGACATGAAGTTCCTCGCAGTATCTATCAACAATCCACGGTGGGAGAATTCTGGTTCATCTATTATATCACCTTGAAATATCACATTCTACATAAAATGCATTGATGCAAAAAATCTCCATTCAAAACAAAACTCACTCCTCCAAATTTATCCTTGTATACCAACTGAAGTATTGTTTCAAGCGCATGTATTACACCCCAAACTTCCATGGAAAGTATGTTAATTTCAGTATCTCTTATGGTTATATAGTCTGACAATTGAGGAGCGAAATCATTAGCTGTGGCGTAACTTACATGATTCATCTATGGAAACATTTGGCCATAATTTATTTTTCCTTTCGTCACATCCATCGTCTATTTTGATTTTCAGTTGGCTTATGTTGCATTTGATCTCATCTTGCTGAGAAATTCGCGGATGTTGCAGTGCTAGTCGACGTTGGAATCTCTTCAGATAGTCTGTGAGTACAAAGCATGCTGGATAGTCATTCTGGTAGGTAAGTGGACGCTGTAAATAACAGGCTGTCGAACTTCTGTTGTAATGTGACGGTTTCGGGACTAATGAGAGTGTATAGTTTGAGTTGGTGAGCAGAAATACAATCAGAAATAACACAGAAGCGAGCAGCATGATTATTTTGTCTTCGTCAATGTCTTTCTCAATCAACTGTCAGCACATTTTATACTAACGTCGAAATGGATTTTGGACCCTTCCTTACAGTGAGTGATAAACGAAAATGAAAAAAAAATTAACACACAGTCGAATCACGATATCATTAAAGTATTTTTGTATTTGTCGATATTAAATTAGATTTAGTTGTATTGTTAAAGTGTCAGTTTTCATTATTGTTTCATCTTACTTTGTGTGTACCTGTGTGCGTGTGTATGTGTGTGTCCACAACATGTAATCGATTATTTTAGAGTAGGATTTGGGCACTGTGGTTTAGTGAGCCCCATATTAGATAAATATATTTGATGAAATGAACACTGGTACTCTGTTAGTAACTAGATGACGCCTCAAGCATAATTCATTGCTCATAATCCTACAAATTTATTCACAAGACCACATAGTTCACTCTTGGTTGATGAAATAATATTAGGTGTTCAGCTATGTCTCACCTCCACTGTCTTCGAATTCCAAAGAAAATGAATGGACAAACGAACGAATGGTGTGTCAGTAGGATCATCAACCCCCCACCACCACATAGTAGTGGACATTTATGGATAGGTGGGGAAATACAGCCCTTAGAAATTTCACTACTTCTCCTAGGTTATGTTGGAAAAAGTGCGGATGATGCATTCACTTTGTTGAAACCTCAGCATATCTCTCACTTCTTCACACATATGAACTCAGTAGGAGATGCAATCCAATTCACCTCTGAGATAGAAAATGAACGAGGTGAGCTGACCATTCCAGACTGTAAAATAAAACGAATTAAAACAAGATTGTGAGATTCTTCGTGAAGCCGAGAAATGGGTGGCTGTCACACTAATCAACTCTTTCATTGATTAAGTTTATCGACAGATCCAACTAAGACAAATTTGTGAAACAACGTGCAATGACTGTGAGGTCAGTTACATAGGTCAGACTGGTATGTCAGTGTAGTTAGGTTATTAGAACACAGAAATTTAGCCAGACCTAGAATGATTGACCCTGTTGAGTTAAATAACCTAGAAATAGCTCATCTATTGCAATGGGACTGAGTGAAAGTATGAAAAGGCGATATATTCAGGTGAAGGTAGAGGTCAATCACTGAGTCTTTGTTCATCCAATCAGTAAGTAACACATTCAGCCGAAACAACACACTGTCTAAACAGAATCCATACAGGAAATGGCAATAGACAAAAAAAGGGGGAATATAGGGAAGATATTTATAAATATGTGGAGCAAATTACCAAATTGTGTGAATAAATTGATATGATTATTAGCAAAACATTGTGCTTACTGCTGTACTAATGTGTCAAATAAGCTTGTCTAACATGTGGTCAAATTCAACATCTTATAGGATTTAAAAAGAATTGTTTCCATGCTCCTGTGAGCTGGACCCTTTCAGTACTATTACTACAAGTACAGCTACTACCACTAGTAATAATAATAATGTTGTTATCAAAGAACAGAAAGCAAATCAATCGTTTGTTGTTTAATATTGCTACTTGACATCAGTCATTATTACTACTCCGATTAGATTCCGATTGTTGCATTGGGCTTCAGCAGTACACTTTGATTTCATCGTGTTCTGCGCACTATACTTTGGCTGGCTTCACGATTGTTCGAAAACTTTCACTACCTCCTCACACGACATCTTGAAAATGTCACACTGGGATTTACGCTCAACTCAAAGGTTCCCATATGCATCAAACTGATGTGTTTGCCACTCGATGTCATTCAGTGGTTTCCTCAGCGTGCGTCTGATCCATTTCCATTTTCTTCGGCATATTGTTGAATATGTTCTTGGTTAGTTCAATCGCAGAGTTTCATGTTGCTCATCCTCTGTAGGCATCTGATCTTCAGCATCGATCGAAGGCAAGTGTTGATGAAACTCTTCCTTGACCTGTTGATAATGGTCCACTTGACGCGTCAAGTCTCTGAACCAAGTAGAAGCACTGGTATGACATTAATGCTGATAATTCGAATTTTTCATTCATGATGAATGCAGCAGATTTCTACACTGAATTCAGACTAATGAAGATCTGCCTTGTCCTTCTGATCCTGGCTATCGCACCTGCATCCGTTCTGACCGTACTTGAAATGATGCTGCTTATATAGACGAGATAAGTGACCTCCTTCAAATTCCTTCAATGTATGTCACTTATTCTTGTAGTTGGTACTGGTGGTTAACTTTCCAATTGGAATCTGTCTAATCTATTCTCGTTTGAATTTCTATCTCAGTTGCTTCTTAAGCCAAATTAATAGTAACCACCTTTAGATTATTGAGTTTGTGTAACATCAAACAGAAGACGATGGCGAAGTCCAAACACGTCGTGTGGCTCCACACTGTTTCTCCGAATCCTGTGTGACCAACAGCCTGTCATGCTGTGGTTGCCAGAGTGTCGTAGAACTGTCTTACCTCCCTTCGTCACTTCTGTACAGAGTGCGTTGTGTACTGAAGACGGCTTCTTCTCCCATTGTTGCAATTCATTGTTCATAATTCGTTTTTCCATCCCCCATATGCTCATTTAGCTTCCAGACGTCCGTCGAAAGCTATTTCTTGTCTTTCCACTCCATTTTTCCCACGCCATCTGAAAAGCTTTCCTACAATGTCATTTACAGAGTGTTCCATTGTACTTCCACAGAGGTTTCCCCTATGATGCTACACAATGACTTAGATTTCACTTTGCTGGCTGCAGTGTTGTCTTTTGTAGTTTGGTCGCTCAGTTTCTGAGTGTTCAACGTGAATTACAGTGGTCTGTCTTCAACTGTTCTGAAGATTTTCGACTTGACCATGAAGCTCCGTTAAACTAGATGGTGATCTGAGCCCACATCTGCTCCTTATCTTGATTTTGAGTTAAGCAGACTATGTCTCCATTTTCGTGAGACTGTGATGAATTTTATCTGGCATTTGGTGTGTCCGACAAGTGAAATGCAAGTTTCTTTGTGTAAATCCTTGTGCTAGTACACGCTGCCTCTAACTAACAAATTACCGAAGGCGCAAACTCTGTAAAGAGTTCTCAGTTCTCATTCATTTCGCCAAGGGAGAGTCTCTCGACCCAAGATGAATTCTCTACTTGCAATTTCCCACCGCAGTTCATCGTTCACATTAGGCATTATGATTTTGGAGTCTTGTCAATTATTGTTTAAAACCGTCTGTAGAATTCTTGCTTCCTGTCATGTTCCGTGTTGTTTGTAGGCACTCAGGATTGTGGAATTGCAGCTTTCCTTCCTTTTGATTTGAACATCGCTGTCAATATGCTGCGTGAGGTTGTTTCCCGCTGTACGAAAGGTCTGGGTGCCGTAGGTAACTTTATGATATCCACTCCCTCAGTATGCTCATGGTTATCATCTGTGTAGCCAGAAGTGATAACTGACTCAGCAGTTAACGATTTTCAGAGTCCATTTGCATTACAACCACCCTCACACATTCATGACACGTCATATCATATCTCTGACCGATGGAGCAGCCTTCCCAGCTGGATGCAGTGTGCGAACAGCGCGCGTCCCAATGTTTATTTTTGCCTTCATAGAAAGAATATACATTTGCTGACTGGCTTCCAGATGGTTTTCGGAAGCCCACGTCAGACCATCCATCTGGTTCCAGTTAATGGCGAGTTGGCTTTTTATATTTTTCTTGTACTTTGAAGTGTCTGTAGCCATTAGACTGATTTTCTGGGGTAGAGTCACTAGCCATACGACCGACGTTCCGTCTTTCTTAGAACCTGGGACTAAGTAGTAAATCAGGCGAAGTTCTCATCCATTGGGAAAATAACAACCACGGAAACCAATCTCAAGCTCATTCACTCATCAGATTTATTCAGAGTGAGGAATGAATCGCATGAAATATGTCTCTACTCTGTCTGTTCAGTCAACTTGGTTTGTGTTATGCATTTTCGGATGACCTGAAGGTGGGAAGCACTCTGAAGTCCATTAGAATTCTTCGTCATAGGTGCATAATGAATGAATCTTTATGGTAATTTGAAGTAATTCATTTTGGACGTGTTTCTGTCTAATAGGAAATGAATCAAAGAGAAAACG